AACGGTCGAATGTTAAAGGATCGAGTTTCGGTCGAAAATAAAATCGATTTCTCGGAAGTGTTGTATCCAGCCAGTGTCACCGAATGATAGTCTGTAAGGTTACCTCATGGAAGAGTTACGTAATTTGTCGGAGTGTTTAATTTCTGTGTAGTGAATGTTTAGTGTAATTATTTAGTGTTTTTTTTTCGTTTTATATTTGAATTTCGAAGCATTTCACCGGAAATATAGTTTCAATAACAACGTATTTTTCCTAAACTTTTTTATTTGAATTCCGAACGCTTACAAAACCGGTTATGTTTTTTCTTATCCCCAAAAGCGGCATCTTACGTTAACCGTTATATTTGAACAAAGTGTTTTTGCATGTTCAAATGTGTTTTTTGCTTCTATTTCTGAATATTTCTTATCTGTTTGTAATTAGGTATGACAAATGAATAGTTAAATCAACTGACATAATTTTATTTACATTAATGCAGAAATGAGTAATATTTGTACCTCGGTTATTTTAGTAGGTTAATTTTAAATCGTCCAACTATGGTGGCGTTTTAATAATAATAATTTTCCTTTAGTTATCTATTTCTTATTGGTTTAACGTTAGTGTTTAATTTTTTCCTGAATGTGATAAATTATAAGAGAAATTATTTACCAGGGGTCAATAATCTATGTTACATAGAGGTCGTAACCTAACGAATAAGTTTGGTTCGTACGTTTGGTTAGTACATTTTTATGTTTTAAAAATATGTATGTCATTCGAAATCATCGTAATTAATATAATGATATGTAAGCCGACGTCGGATGTGATTGTCGTTATTACAAAGTTTGTTAAGTGTAAGCATAGTGCTTAACGCAACAACCACCGAAGTTATTCCGACTCTACTGTTATTGACTTAGTTTACTTTCATGATTGTATACTATTAAAAAAAACAGTTGTACCGGATTTTTACTACTGCATTGCATATTTACTGTGTTACTCCCAAGATCTGACAAGTTGCTTAAAAGTCTGACTACTACAGTTTTTAAATGTCCTAAGAGTGTTTGTTTGAGTAATTTCGTTATAAGATTTGGTCACTAAGGGACTGTTTAAGTAGTAATTTTGTAAATCTGAGTATGGCAGTGAAAGCTTATATTAAAGCTTCATATCGCAGTAATATGTCGTTTACTTTTTATACTTATTAAATCATTTTTTTGTAGTTTATAACAATGTAGGAAAATATCTAGTTACATTTGAAGATGTAACGAACGGAAAATATGAAGTGAGCTAAATTAATTAGATCCCCGTTGGCTAGAAACGCAATATACTGAGTGGCGTCATCAGATGATGAGATCGCGGGCCGCAAATAGACGCGCGTCGTACACCTCTGTTTACCACTTGTTATCGGAAGAGGAATGCGGCCCGTGAATCATCGCCTCTGGTTACCAGGTGCTTTAACTTTGCAGATTTATTATAATTGCGTGTTTTATATCCGCATATCAAGCACTAATCTTGTCTGTAGTTATGACATGTGAATTAAAAAATCTTTTTTTTTTTAAATAATAAATTAATTTAAATTTTTTCGTATTCGTTTTTCAAATTTGCAAATAAAAGATATAATAAAATTGTTGTATGTTTCTTAAAGAATGTCACATAACCGGTTTTGTTGCGTAAATTATGAAATAATAGAGAAAATATTCAAAATACCGAATTTGGGTAGTTTCCAAACGCTGTTAAAAGTTAATTTGTAGATAAATAATCATTGCACATAGGCATCGTATTTAATCTGTGGCGTAGCTGAATGAATTGTCATTGTGTTTGTGGTGAAAAGTGTCAGTGTATCAAGTGTCACGAAGGTATAATATTTAGTCTGTGGCACGTGTAAAATGAAGGAGAAACGTCGCGCCGGCCGCTGCAGAGGGAAAGTACAGCACGCGCTGCGTTACCTCGGGTAAATGTTGTCTTATTGCCTATTCTGGAAGGCATCTAGACTAATTATACTTTCGACTGTGTTTCTTGATAGACTCAGTTCCAGAAATCGATGTTATAGAGAATAGCTGTTGCCGGCGACTCCGTCCGCGTAGAATTAAAAAAAAAACATAATTAGTAGCCTTATGTGTTCATACATACAATGTATGTATGCCAAATTTTATCGAGTTTAGAGTCCGTTCAGCCGTTTTGGACCTTAAAACAAACATCCATCCATCCATCTAAACATTAGTAAAATTTTACCTATAACAAGGTTACTATAATTCAACAATGTCATTACATAAGATACGAGGTAACATCGTCAATTACGCTAGTCTGAATCAGTCTTCAATATTGACGATGACGTAATTGTAACACGTGTCACGTGACATCAGTGTAAACCTGACGTTATGACTAACGTAGTTAATGATACAATCCCCGTTGGGTTAACACTGAACAACAGAATTATTATCTCATTTAACAGAGATAACAGTATGTTTTAAATGGAGATTTCGGTCTCAAAACCAACGGTAATTCTCATTTTCTTTTAAGTTATTGATCAGCTGTGTTGCCAGTATTGACAGTTAATAGATAATAAATAAACTTTTAAAAAATGGGACCCACCTACAAACTGCAAAACATTTCGAACAATATATTTCGAAATTGGAACACCAGGGGCGGAGTTACGCGGTAACATATAAAAAAAAGAAAAAAACATACAGACGAATTGATAACCTCCTTCTTTTTGAAGTCGACTAAAAATATCCATTTTGTCTTTAAAGTTTCATCGTTTAAATGTTGTAAGTCACCGAAGTATATACAGGTTGTTTAATAAACAAGCGAGAAAAAGCTTATGAATCTTTAATACAAGGTAAATGCCTCCAAGTGGGATGCGAAACGCCCGTCTTAAAGTTTAATGTGATTTATACTGTTAAGGAAACTCGCTGAAACTCCAACTCTGCTATTTCACTTATTTTATTAAAAATTCATGAGTTTATTTTGAGAGTTTCTGTATTATTATAATCATTTACAATTTGAAAAATATAATTGGGCTTAAATTTATTCGAAATTTGATAGATTTATTTTTATTTAGAGCTAACCCGTGACTGTCCGCACGGAATTAAAAAAAAAACTTAATTTGTAGCCTATGTATTCTTCCAGACAATGTTCTATATCCAAATATCACCGAGATCCGTTCGATCGTTTTAGAAATACCTTGATAACAAATATCACTCCACCTATCGAACCATTCGCATTCAATTTAAGTTAAAATACTAAATTACATCGACTAACTCTAGTTATATTACTTTACGTCACAATAATTTATTAGATCTATGAATAGGTATTACTTTAGTTATTTTGTGTGCAATTTTCAACTTTATTGCAAAGTAAATTCCATCTATTTAGTTTTAAATTGGAATGAATAGATGATAGTTGAGACGCGAAAGCTCCCATTAGCTAGATTAGCATTTTAATTGCGATTGTCATTATATAAGTATAGGGTTGTAATTAGCAGGGTTGTAATTGCACGTCCCATGCATTTCAATGTATTCATCTAGAAGGCTACGGTTGACACGTTGGATGCCGACTCGTCTGGCGAGTTTATAAAATTGTAGCATAGAAAGTGTTAAACGTATTAACATTTTATAAGACATATATTTATTTATATATTTTTAGGTCAATAACATATATTTACATTGATACGTACAACTGCATTTTTTTAAAAATTGGAACCCAATGTCATATAAAAAATCTTATACGTTAAATTCTATTGTCACCGTGTTAGTTATCATACTCAGTAACGGCTTGACGGAATTTTATGATTTTTTTGCATATTCAGAAGGCCTTAGAATCGAATATTTTTATCCCGCGTGGACGTAGTCGAGGGCGACAGCTATATAAAATAGTACCAACATATGTTGGAATCCGTCTGCTGTGAATTTACATTGAATGCTTACAACGCAATATACGTCAAGCGTTGTTGTAAGAAGATTTTTTTTTTTATTTGGAGACTTTTGCCAGCCGGCGTCAATGTTAGCTCAGCAACGTCAGCTCTTGTCAGTCTTTTATTTGAATTTGTCACATTACGACGATATTATAGGTATTTCCCGTTGGGCCGATCGGACCAATAATAAACGGACTAATAGGAACTGAATCGCTCTGGGCAGATTGGTAAAATAGGAAACCACGCAACAAGATAGTTTTATTACAACACTTTAGCGGTTTAATTGTTTGCGAGTCTCATATTAAATTAAACTTAGCGAACCCTTAGTAAAAACTTATCAACTATGGGTTCGGCATTGGGTCAAGGAAAAGAAATCTGATATATTCGAGTTTTGCAACGATTTAATTGGAGTTATAAAAACAAAATGAATATACAACAGCTTTGTGGGACAAAGAGACGTAATGAATAGAACATGCGAGTAGCTTTTTAATTTGTTGGAGACTAATAACTGTAGGGAATTGGGGCGGGCCACGACACGCGCGGGATATAGAACAAATAGCTTTATTGTTTTCCAACCAGATCTATGCAATATGAATGAGTTACTATTGAAATCGTCGCTTCCTCTTTTATCACTATTATTATAAATAGCTATTAACCAATACGAAACTATTCAATAGGAGACATTTCTGTTTTTAATATTTAGATTTGTGAAAGAAATTTTGAGTGAGTTCAAGAGAATGGAATTTATAAATCTTAGATATGCAGAATTATTACTTTCTAAATTATACATTAGAATGTTGTTTTCCGTTGTAAATGTATTTAAAAAAAATGTATTACTACACATAAAACATAAGTATGGCAAATGGAAGCCAGTTCAGCGAAGCAGAGACAGACTCGGTCCAGAGCTGGTTTAAAGTTGGGAACTAGTTTGCGAATACATTGTAGAACTTCAAGAAGCGTATCACCATCTCAAAGGCAACGTATCTGCGATTCCACTGGTCTTGCACATGTCCATGGGCGTCGATTAACACCTCGGTGTACCCGATGCTCGTTTGCCCACTACTTTTATGAAAAAAACCAAAGATTCCAGTATTAAGTGAACAATGTTGTTTGTTGCAGAGGGGCGGTGTGTGAGTGCCGCACCGTCATGTCGCACCACAGCGACGAGCAGGCGCTGCTGAGCGTCGCATCAGACTCGTTCTGGGAGCCGGGGAACTATAAGCGCACAACACGACGAATTGATGATGGCCATCGGCTGTGCGGTGAGCTGCAAGCACTGGTGCAGGAGAGAGCTGATATTGAAAAGACGTATGCAAAGAGTTTACGTGCTTGGGGCAAGAAATGGAATGATCTTATAGAGAAAGGTATGTTACTCATCTATTGTGAAATAAGTCAGTGTACAATCTGACTAACTGTAAGTTCCTGAGACCGAAATATCTGTATAGAACATATTTTTTTTATATCTGTATAAAACATATTATCCCTATCATTAACTTTGACGAAATAGAGATATGTTTTAAACAGGGATTTTGGTCTTAGAAACCCACGATAAGTATAATACGTCAAATCGTAACAGGTGTAGTATATTTTGTAATAGTTTATAATATACCTAGTCAGAATATAAACTTATGGTTCGCAATTGTATACAAGTAGAACTGCAAACTAAAATCTGTCGATTTAATGAAATGGCCGAGTTCTTAGTGAAAATCTTGCCAATATATTCTATCTTACAAACATTATTTACTGACAATTCAATAATAAAGATAAATATCTAGTCATTGTAAAGTCACCATTAATACCCTTCTTATTAATTCTTCACTCGCGAGTTTCACGAGACATTGAATACGGGACCACCCACGTCGAACCACTTACACCAGTTTGTAATTTTTCATCTAGTATCTTTAATAGTTGTTAGAAAGGGACGGAATGCTTTTTACTATCATTACTACGTTTATTTATTTGTGTTTCCTCTTTTATTAATATTTTTTTTTGTTTAAAAAATCTTTGTTAGATAATTTTCTATATGTTACCTTGGTGAATTTTTTTTATAAATTAATTGATTTGTTAACTAACCAAATATTCTATACAAAGTTGGTATCGTATTTACCATTTTGTTCCCCCTTTAAATCTCACTTAACTTAACTTTGACAAGTTTTATTTTGATGATACAATTTACTTTTCTGTTAATGTGAATTCGTGTCTACGAGTTCTTTGATCGTATTCGTTGAAGGGCACAAAGAATGCCCTTATTTCCAGCTACAGGGGCTCTTTGACATATCTCCAAGGCCCGGATGTTTATTGCGTTGTTTTATTGTACATCGATGGTTGTAGATATCGTTTAAATAAAATATACGAGACAGAAGAAGCAATCTACACATTTTAAATTATTATTACTAGCTGTCGCCCGCGCCTCCGTCCGCGTGTATATATAAAATACTTAATTAGTGTGGCCTATGTATATTCTTTCAGACTATATACTATACGTATGCCAAATTTAGTCGAGATCCGTTCAGCCGTTTTAGAGATGTCCATGTAAGCATTCGCATTTATAATATTAGTAAGTTAAATAAAAAGCAGCTCAAGGCTTCAAGGCATAAATTGAAAAAAAAAAGAATAAATAGTATCCTATGTCCGTCTCCTGGATCTAAGCCGATATGGCTGAAAATTGGTGAGGTACCTCCTCACCAATTTTCGGCCGTAAAGCCGTTCTTGAGTTATAAATTGTGTAACTAACACTACTTTTTTATATATAGATAATGATTGCTGTGTAAATTTTTTTCTAAAACATGGTTGTGATTTGTGATTGACCATAGTTGCAAAAGCAACTATGTATACGATTGAGATAAAATATGTCACTAAGGGGTTGTTTAATCAACTAGTAGACGATTCTGAGTGATGTGTGAAGTTATTATTTTAAGTAAATAAGAAAGCGAATGGTTTCACAAACACACATAACACTGTCCACACAAACTACGAACACTTTTCTAATGCAATCAGTAAACATTTAACGTAAGTCCCCCGCGAACACTTGCATCACCGCCTACGTAACTACGGACAGACAACACTTCCTAGTATTGATATATTGAACTGGTATCGAGTGGATAGGAATTTGTAAAGGTTAGCCTCGTACGCATCGCTACGCACCTTTCTCTTAGTGAGCACAGCAATAATTACGTCAGATGAATATTAGTATATTTTAAATTATTTTAATATCAAATAATATTCATACTCTAAGATAAAGGAAGATAAAGGATTGATTTATAGCGATAATTGATGGTCAGTTTTAATCTTAGAGTGACAAGATGATGTGTATAAGTCAACGTGACACGTGACAGTAATTTGCTAAATTTTAATTTAAAAAAGGCGCTAATCTCTTCTTATTTGAAACCAAAACTTCCTTTTGTATTAGAGTCGCCGCACACTAGAGAATTTTAGTTTGATGTGCGTTTATTCAGAATGAGCATGTACGGTGGTCCATATTATACTGATAACATGCTCGTACTGATTAAGTGCACGATCAAAGTTTTCAACGACTGAAATTCTCTAGTATACCCCCCGTATACTTAGACAAACAAAGTTTTGGCTTCACAGAAAGAAATCGCGGAGGCCTAATTTAGTCCTCTTTCCTTTCCCACCCTTTTCTTTCTTAATAAGGAAAGGATGGGAAGTGGAAGTGGACTTTCCGGATGAGAAGATGCATGGAAGGGAAAATATTTTCTTTCTGTGCATACTCTCCTCCGTCGATTAAAGGTAGGCAACGCATATGCAATTACGGATGTCTATGTGCAACGGTCAATTCGCTATTTCAGCGATTTCAGGTGGCCGCTCGCTCGTTTGCCACCTTATGATATAAAAAAATAATGTTATGTTAACAGTATTGTTTTGGAATTGAAAGTTGATGAGGGTGCCACCATCGGTTATTCAGATCACGGATTCGATCCGACTTGCATACCTTATCGGAAAACGAAAGTATCGAGCGTAACTTCTTAAGGTGCAATACACCATGTACATACTTTCTACATAACACAACCATTGCAATAATAACAAATTAAAACTCTTTTGTTCAATGTGATAACTCTATAAATGGATAGGCGATTGCTTGGAAATGACAGCTTCAGCTTCGTTCCGATTCCGCGCTTGCGGGGCTACACAAAGAGCATTCGCTTCGAACTGATTCCATTACGATTTTCAAAAATGTATGGAATTGACACGCGACAAACTTGACTTATCAAATGTTAGTGTCAGTTCTATAGATTTTTGAAGTTCGTAATGAAATCGCTTCATAGTATTTTGTCTAGATCCGCTGTTGATGTTACGTGACAGTTAATTCTATCTATATTATTAGTTAACATCAACGCTATAAACAGATACCATCATCGCCAAAATGGCGGAATAGGCACAAAATACTTTTATAGCCAGTCTATTTAAAGACGTCAGTTAATAACGCTATGAAACAGCTGAAAAACAAACATAACTTCATCCCTTTCATTCACCTTGATTAAGTAGAGATAATAATATTTTTTTGTACATGTGTTTCGGCAGTTTGCTGGATTTCATCCTTTATGATTTATGTAGTAATAACAAAGAATAGAGGTGGCGAAATAAATTCATCAATTTCTCATTTTACCAACGAAAATTTTTCGTCACTTGAAATTGCGTGTCTTTACATCATTAACTCTGTTGCAAACGTCCATTGTCGGAAATGTCATTAAATCATTGTCAAAATATCATCTTTATCTGAGTTGAGTAATGAAAGGCTATGTAACAGCAAGCATTCGATCCCGAACTTAAAGTTACAGGCATTACGTGAACACCTTAAGGTATTTTTTTTTCACGTGTAATAAGTGTTATTATCGATAATTTAGGTATCTGTAGCAAGATTGTTGAATATTGGATGCAAACATACCGTGAGTTTCCACTGACAAGATACTTTTATAAAAACATTTTGTTCAACTTACTTATTACTTATAAATGCGAATGTTTATATGGTTGGATGTTTGTTTGAAGGTATCTCGTGAGCGTTTGTATGGATTACGCTGAAAGGCATAGATGTAGAATATAGTCTGGAAGAACCTAGGCTACTTATTTAGTTTTTTAGGGTTCCGTTCCTCATGGGAAAAAACGGAACCCTTATAGGATTACTTTGTTTTCCGTCCGTCTGTCTGTCAAGACCTTTTTTTTTAGTTAGTACCAATATATAAATACGACAATCTTGATGATTTAATATACATGAGTTGTTACTTATCATCTTTAAGCTTTAAAAAGAAAACTTGGTATTTCCTACAAAAGTGTTTCCACTTACATATTAAGTCAATTTCACTCATGTACCAAATTATATTTAATTTCACTTGTTTGTCGTAAACTGAGGTAGTTCGATCATCTTTTACTGAGAAATTGTTACTTTATTTCTTCACTGTATTTGTATTTAAACCGCACTCAGTCACTTTAATACTCGTTAAGTGTAGATTTCTTATACTTAATTAAAAAAAGACCACTTATGTTCATAATGAAAGAGTTATAAATAATTATAATAATTAACTTATACGTCGACTAAAAATAGTATTTAGTTACTTCGGCAGTTGTTTTAAACCTTTGACCCGTAGTTACCGAACCAAAACAACATGTAAGCCGCCAATTTAACTTCTAATTGCAAACCACAATCCTAAAATCCACTTACATATAGTTCAATGGACGCAAACAAATTTGAATCTTAATCCCATGTATATAAGGATTGTTCTATTTGGGTGATAAACTAAGGGTAAATTCTGTTAGTAATTGAGTTTAAAGATGTACTTTTATATTCGTTTGTATCCATCAAACGCTGGTGTCCATTGCCGAAACAACTATACAGAAACATATTTATTTTGAACAAGCTGTCGGCCGCGATTACGGCCCCGCGGGATAAAAAAAAACAGTTAATAAGCCTATGTGTTCTTCCAGACTATGTTCTACATTTATGCCAAATTTCAGCGAGATACGTTCAGCCATTCCAGAGATGCCTTCAAACAAATATCCATCCATCTAAACATTCGCATTTATATTATTAGTAAGATTTTAATAGCCTTATAAATCCATTTTTTTTTAGATAGGGTTGTTAAAACTTCGTATTATCTTTGAATACGACTATACCACCCATCTTACTGTCTATCCTACTCTACGATGTCGTACCACATTTCGACATTACCAGCGGTAAATAACAGACTTTACTGTACCCAATGTCTAGCGATTTTATTCACCGGAAAGAAAGCAAACATATAAATGCCAGCTAGATGGTACTATGTGGGAAAGTGGTACATCCTCCATCGAGCATACTCATTCACGCCACTTGCTAAAACCAATATCACAAGGCGCCTAGACTGTTTAATATTATTCATTTGTATAAGACATTTAAGTCTGGACTATTCTCATCAGACAGTACACTTACCACTTGCCACTGATAGACATTAAGTTCTCCATATCTTAGTAATATTTTAAATGCGAATGTTTGGATGGATGGATGTTTGAAGTTATCTCCAGGACGGCTGTATAGATCACGCTAAAATTTGGCCTATGTGTAGAATATAGTCTGCATTATTTTATTTTTTTTTAATTCCACGCGGACGGAATCGTTGGCGACAGCTAGTTAATGTTATAAATAAGTTAGTTATCGTATAAAATCTTCATTTTATCCTATTATTAATCATTTTCATTTTACCCTTAATTAAAGTAATATAAGGTTTATTAACATAGATTGCTACAATCTCAGTGAAGTACCGGTGTTGTTTCCGTAATACCTCACTTTAATTATCTTTATGTGCCAAAATATGGCGGCGATATGAGGGTTGCCAGTATCCGTGAAGGTTACATTAATTCAGGTCACGTGTAACCTCCTTAGTGTTGCCTTACGTAAGTTAACTAATTTGAACACAAATTTTAAGCTTTATTTAAATTTAACTTTGGTGCTATTAACCAAACGAAACATAATAGCAATTTTGGGTAAATATAACTTTAAGTTTGTACCTTGTTTAATAACTATAAAATGAATACGTTAATAGTGAACTTAATTCACGAATTTAACTACACAGATTTAATTCCTTATGTTAAGTTTCAAACGTTACAATAAACTTCTCGATCAAGCATCTACTGAATAGTTTCTTGTTCAGAAATAGTTTTTTTTCAATGTTTTAAGTTTTAAATGGTAAAGTAACCATTAGCTTCTAAACTATAAGGTTCTAATATAACTTTCATCAACCTCAAGTAAGATGAACCTGTAAAACAATTATTTTAAAGTATATTTGCGACCAGAGTTTATGCGTGTACTGTAGTCCTAACACGAATATTTGTGACAACCGCCTTCGTATATTTATCATTAATTATGGCGAAATTAGTATGACATTTTTGGTGTAGTTTACGCCCGATGGATACATAAATTTTGTCGACAACGATACGATTGCGCTTGTCGAAATTTTTCGTTATAGGTCCACTGTTTGGTTTCCTAAGTATAAACTAAGTACTTTGTATTATCCAGGGCCGGAGTACGGTACAATGGAGGCAGCGTGGAAGGGTGGCATGGTGGAGGCAGAGAGGCTGTCGGACTTGCACCTGGGTGTGCGCGATCGCCTCGTCAATGACGTCATCGCACAGATCAAGAACTGGCAGAAGGACACCTATCACAAAGTAAGTTATATGAATTAGTAAAATGAAATTACGTTATTAAGTTTTAATGTTATACAACTTGATTCATAGAACACAAAATAATTATATTTAGTTTAAAAAAATATCCACCATCACCTCTTAAGGCTCTTTAGCTTAGACCAAATATAATAACATGAAATAAAAATAAGCGCTTAATGTCAGAGTAAATAAAATTTTCTTCCTTATATCTGAAATTGTATCCATTGCATTTGGGTTTATTGTACCCAAAATTAATCCATTGTCATTTATCAAGACATGTGTTAGTGGCGTTATGTTACAGCCATTTGATATAAAGTTCACAGAGCAACTAACTACAGAGAGTTGAACAATAAATAATTTGAATAATTGAAAGATGTTATATTTATACAAAGAAAAGTCTGTGAAAAGTTTATATAAACTGCAAATATACACAGCGTGTGGCAGAAAGTTCAAAGTTCTAGTATAATACACAAAAACTTTTCCACTTTTATATTTAAAAAAAATAAACCCCTTTTTTATATTATAAAATAACTAGCTGACGCCCGAGACTCCGTCCGTGTGGACAAAAAAAAACTTAATTATTAGCTTACGTGTTCTTGTGATCTATAACTATGCTAAAGTTCAGCGAGATCTGTTTATCAGTTCTGGAGATACCTTCGAACAAACATCTATCCATCCATACATCCATCTTACTTTGTAATTCGCATTTATACTATCGATTAGAAAAAAAATTCTGAACAATACATGCCATCTTTGAAATGAAGGTGAAATGTGTTACTGTTCACGACCTCGGTCACCTCGTTATCTGTGCCTGGCAACAAGCCAACTGCTGTGACGTCACAGTAATATCAAGCATTTGACTGCAATGAATTATCACAACTGCCAAAATAGCTCCAAATTATACTTGAGTTTGTCTGACTTTGATAGGTTTCAGTTTGGTATACAGTGAGTTTTCACTACCGAAATAAATGTATGAAAAACTATTTGTTAATAGAAATTAAAAACGCACTTACTATATTATGATAGACCTCTTTTCTCTAAAAAAATCCGTATCTTGTATAACTTATAATTTACTACCTATCGCCGGCGACGCTCTCCGCGCGATCAAAACGCAATTAGTAGCCTGTGTGTTCCAGACAATGATCTACATCTGTGCCAAATTCAACGAGATTCGTACAGTTGTTCTGAAGATCCCTTGTTACAAACATCCATCCAAACATTCGCATTTATAATATAAGTAAGATTAACACGAAGTATTTATAAACAATTGTAAATAGTTGTGTTGCTTCTCAACAAATCCGGCTCGAAGGACCATGGATAAATGTAAACTGTATTACATCAATTGATTCAAAGAAATTATGTAAAGTTAAAAAATTCCTCGTATCATTAAGTAACTTTAAGTATTCAAGTAAAACAGGTATTGAGTAATTGATCAAGTTTTTCGGGAGCCCTTGCATAAGTTAGTGAAAGTGCAAACAAAAAAAAAATGTACAAACGTTCCCTCTTAAATACGAATGTTTGTATGGATGTTTGTTAAAAGGTATCTCCAGAACGGCTGCATGGATCTCGCCATAGTTTGGCATATATATAGAACAAAGCCTGGAAGAACATATAGACTACTAATTGTGTTTTTTGCATTCCGCGCGGACAGAGTCACGGGTGACGGCTAGTCTTTAAATACTTAAATTATTACTTATTAAAACAAATAACATGTCTCTTACTTTCTAACAAACAGAAAGAAAACATCGTATGCGTAATCTATTTGATTGAGTCAAATTATACGAGTAAAAAGTGAATTGGCTGTATGTTGCGTAAAATGTATCATTAGCATGCAACTCAGTGTGTCACTAAGGTAATGTATTCTTTAGGAATTTTTATGTTGTTGATTACCAATTTAAACATATTACCAATCAAGTTGTGATCATTTAAAACTGTTTTTTTTTTCTAACCAGTAATTTCAAAATGTTTAAATCATTTTGTAATTTGCTAACCAAACCATTGATAGAATAGTTCTCTTTTTCCGTTACCAATTTGCCTTAATAACGATGGACTTCTACTGATGAAATTGATTCTCATTCTCTATGATAAATCTGGCATAATAATGTATTTTTGAATTGCTATTTCATCAGTGTAGCCTAAATTTAAGTTCTCTCTGTCCTCTACAAGTAGAGGCACAAAACTATTCTTAAATCTGTACAACTCTATAAACTATTTGCTTTTATTTAAGAATCTGTCGCCTGCTACTCCGTTCGCGCTTATAACAATAACTCAATTAGTAGCATGTTCTTCCAGTCTGTGTTTTACATCTTTGCCAAACTTCAACGAGATCAAAAAAAACATCAATCCGTCCATCTAAATATTCGCATTCATATTAGTAAGATTGAACTTGTTCTCTTTAGTTAGATGTTGTATAATACTTTAATATGAGTCATGTACAATATTTAGATTCATTAAGTAACATTCAATAGTGTATGACATCCATTTATGATGTCCAGCAGCGCATGTCATGCATTGAGCGGTGACATCTCATGAATAATGCCGCGCATGCGCCTTGCCCTCGCATCGGAAGCTTCCTGCGAACCTTAATAGATCTGTGCGTTTACATTTGCATTGATTTTATTTAAATATACACACAGATACACATATCTATTAAATATTGTGTCCAAAGCATTGTTTGTTGAACATATTAAATTCTATAGTTACAGTTTTTTTTTATATCATAAGGTGGCAAACGAGCGAGCGGCCACCTGAAATCGCTGAAATAGCGAAGTGACCGTTGCCCATAGACATACGCAATTTCATATGCGTTGCCTACCTTTAATCGACGGAGGAGAGGATGCACAGAAAGAAAATATTTTCCCCTTCCATGCATCCTCTCATCCGGAAAGTCCACTCCCACTTCCCATCCTTTGAGAAAAAGGGTGGGAAGGGAAAGAGGACTAAATTAGGCCTCCGGGACGCACACTCATCAGACGAAACGCGGAATTGCTTCCACTTCACGCCTGTCTTTTGTGTGGTCGTGGTATTTCACCGGGCGAGCCGGGACAATTCGTTCGAAGATGTTAAAGCGGGCTCTACCACTTTTAAATATGCTATGCTATGCTTCCTTGGTAATATTTTTACATCTTACTTATATTATAAATGCGAATGTTTAGATGGATGTTTGTTGCAAGGTATCTCTAACACAGCTGCATGGATCTCGCTGATATTTGACATAGATGTAGAACACAGTCAGGAAGAACACATAGGCTACTAATTAGGTTTTAGTAGCCTGTGTCTTCTTCCAAGTTAAGCATTCTCAGTGTAGTAGATTTAGATTACCTAAAACAGTAAACCTAATATTTATTGTTTACTGTTTATCAAGTTTTCTTTATATAATTAAGTATAAAAATATTCGAATGAAGACCATTTACTATGACGTCAAAGTGCGCATTTACTTCTGCATTCTTGCGCATACTTCATTCCAAAACAAGAAAACAATGGCTGGTACATAGTGCGTTTTATTTATGTTACATACATACGGATTATACTATGCATGAACTGGGACATAGAGATGTTATTGCAATTTAGTATTGATGATTATGGACTGTTGTTTTTCTACAATTTAGCGATCGCTTCGAAGACCCTTGTTTATTGTTTTTCATCTTTGTAAACATTAAATTAATTATAATGTTATGTTCGTACTACAAATGTCCGTCCGTGTGAAATTAAAAAATAGATGGTAGCCGATTCTCAGACCTACTGAATATGCATATAAAATTTCATAAAAATCGGTCAAGCTGTTTCAGAAGAGTATGGTAACTAACATTGTGACAAGATAATTTTATATATAAGACTAGTTGTCGCTCGCGACTCCGTCCGCGTGTTTGTCTAAGAAATAAAAATATAGGAGTGGACTACCCTTAACATTTAGGGGGATGAAAAATAGATGTCAGCCGATCCTCAGACCTACTAAATATGCTTACAAAATTTCATGAGAATCGGTCAAGCGGTTTCGCAGGAGTATGGTAACTAACATTGTGACACGAGAATTTTATATATAACTTCCGTATATAAATAATGAATTCGAAATTATAATGAATATAAAAAGAACCTTTTCCTATTAACATTTGTATGTGTCTGTGGGAATGCCGCGAACTTGTTTATGACTCACTAGTACTTATTGTTACTAAACAATTGATCATTGGATCGACCACCAACGATAAAGCGGCTACAATTGTATTCAAAATGTACAGTACAATTCGCAAAGGAAATGTTTATTTATCTGAACTTGACAATAAGTGATGTTCCATCTCTATCGTACACCTTGTGTACACGTATATGTCTCGCTCTTTCAGTGTCAAATACACGGTGTTATGCAGCTAACTTCAGTAAGACAAACATTTGTGGCTAATATAACATTATTAATCTTACATTAAAACATGTACTAATGTGTTAGAATTAAGATTAAATTTAGTATAGATATAGGACATAGTATGGCTAGTTATTTTATATTTTAATTCCGCGCGAACGAAGTCGCGAACAAAAACTGGTTAAGTATAAATTTTACATAAACATTTCATCCATTAGTATGTTTGTACGTCGTGAGAGATAACGTTATATAGTCAGATGATGTATATATGTATATTGTAAGTAATTTTTATGACGGAAGTATTCGGAGTTTTATTGAGATGAAGTGATGAACAAGGACGTTTCATACTCTAGTGAACATTAACAAATAGTTATAAAGATTAATAATATGTGAATAATTTTTCGTCAATAACTTCAAGCTGGTAAAAATTACGTATACATTTATTTTATAAGAAATCATTGGTATGGTTTTTTAAATTGCATATCACTTATTGAACTGTTTAGGTCGATAATATCGTAATTTTATTATACCAAGACCACACAGAAGACAGACGTAAAATGGAAGCAATTTCGCGTTTCGTCTGTTGAATGTGAGTACTGGAGTCTTAACTTTTAGTCCTCTTTCCCTTCCCATCCTTTTCTTATAATGATTCGAAGTGGAAGTCGATTTTCCGAATGAGAGGATGCACGTGAAGGGAAAACATTCTTTTTCTTTGCATCGTGTAACGGCAACGCATCTGCAATTGCGTATGTCTATGCCGCACGCTCGTTTGCCACCTTATAATATGAAAATTATTATCATTACACCGTCTCAAAATAAAAATAACAGAAAAAAACCTCTTTGCCTTCCTAACTCTTGACATAAAAGTCTTGTAAAGTCTTGTATCGGTGTGTTTTATCTGTACTCAACAAATTCAAACCACTCCCTTCAACATCGTAAAGTACTTTTTCAATTCGGTTGGAAATTTTACGATTTTTTATAGCTTAATTTGGTTACCTTTGACAGTTTATGTCGTCGTGTAGAATTGTTTTATGCTTGAAATTATTAGGTATCCAAAAGTTTCTTAAATATATTTGTATTTTAGCTTCTTCTATTTCAATGGAAATCTACTTCAAACAACCAGTAAACGTAAGTTTCTAGTCCCGAAATACATATTATGTCAGTCTAGAAATTATATTAAAATGTATCAGAAGTGGAAACCTACAATATGATTAACTTTTAACAAAAATTATTAATCTATTTATTACTATTATAGCTGTCGCCCATGACTCCGTCCGTCAGTATTAAATAAAAACTTAATACGTAGCCTATGTGTTCTTCCAGACTATATTCTATATGTATTCCAAATTTAAGTAAGATCCATGCTGCCGTTCTGACAAATATCCATCCATCTAAACATTCGCATTTATAATATTATCGAAATTAATTTATAATTTAAGTGTATACTTTAATATTCGCGTATAATAAAGACGACAGCAATTTGTCACAAAATGAATGCGGTACGCTTTCTACATCGCAATGCTTTGTGCAGATGTATTGTTCGCCTCGAGCGGTGTCGTGCGGCTGTATTAACTTTACTATAACATTTCATATAATATACTTTATATATGTATGCATTATATACATTTCAGCAAGCTTTATATGTTTATATAATATGTTTCCTGCCTTTTTAATAATCCGCTTTATCTTGTTAATCTAACCACGTTGTGGCCACTTCATGTTTATTTTGTGTTCGTTCAGTCAAATACTTGTCATTATTTTTTGGACTCATTTATTCTTTAATAGAAACACCTATCGATACTTCTACAGTCATAAATCTACGCATACAAGCATGTCGGTTTCAGTGGTCTTTTATAGAAGTGATAAAATAACGAGATTTTTTTGTTTTGTCTCTCTTTAATAATAAACATATATATGCTCCCAGATGTGCCATTATTATACTATCCACTAGATACGGCTCAAGTATACGGAAGCGTAGTCTCAGATTACTTGAGCACACACAAGCTAATAGATTGGCAAACAGTGACGCGGTCCAGTACGCACCTTGGACCATACAAATATGCTTTACCTATATATCTTTGCATAAGGAACGATTAAATATGATTATAAAGATAATGATACTGTTTTACTTGTACTAGATAAAGTGGTGACGTAAGGAACTGGTTAACAAATATTTGGTAATGTAGGAATTAAAGTCGACCTCAGAATGACTTCGGCGTACTTCTTATTCGAGGCTGCAAAAGACTGCTATTTATGTTAATTAGTTGTCGCTCCTGACTCCGTTTCAAGGAATTAAAATATATATGTATTTGTAGCCTATGTGTTCTTCCAGATTATGCTCTACATCTATGCCAAATTTCATGGAGATTCGTCTAGTTGTTTTGAAGATATCTTCTAACAAACAGCCATCCATCTAAACATTCTCATTCATAATATTAGTAAGTCTCCTAGTACTTGTCGTTCAATATTTTTTTAACTATTTAATTTCTTTTGAAATTTCTAGTTCATAGTATTGTGCCTATTTTTAGTTGACGTAAGCACTTTAAGAACATGTTTGTGAATTAAATTCAATTCACTTATGTAAACTCAACTCTTACTAACTGAAAGTTAATTTCTCAAGTCTTGGAATACTAATTGAATTTCTGTTGCATTTCTTTCTGTTTCGTAATATACGTCTGTTGAATTTTAAATACAAATTTGCAATGCACTACATCTATCACCCGCGAACTCACAGCGGATAATACTAAGTACAATGGCATTTGTAAATTTCTCTAATTTTTTTTTATATCATAAGGTGGCAAACGAGAGAGAGGCCACCGGAAATCGCTGAAATAGCGAAGTGACCGTTGCCCATAGACATACGCAATTGCATATGCGGTACCTTTAATCGACGGAGGAGAGGATGCACAGAAAGAAAAGATCTACCCTTCCCAAGCATCCTCTCATCCGGAGAGTCCACTTCCACTTCCCATCCTTTCCTTATAAGAACAAGGGTGGGAAGGGAAAGATGACTAAATTAGGCCTCCGGTACGCACAGTCATCAGACGAAACCCGGAATTGCTTCCACTTCACGCCTGTCTTCTGTGTAATCGTGGTATTTCACCGGGCGAGCCGGGACAATTCGTGCGAAGATGTTAAAGCGGGCTCTACCACTAAAAATAGATGGTCGTAAGCTTCAATTTGTGTTACCCCAATCATTGTAACCCCCGCCATTGTATATCCCCGGTCTACTTCACTGCTTCACCATTCCATTCCATCTTATTGGAGACCTATCTAGTGTTCATAATTTGTAGTTCCGTAGTTTTGTATTAAATTACTAAAGCTTTACTAAACGAATTATTCTCTTGTTATAAATGTCATTGTTAATGAACTTTGTTGGGGGTAAATTATATCTTCTCGTATCAATTGCGAGGTCGCGCATCTCAAATATCAAAACAGGCCAGTATCATTGCAGTATATACTCGAATAAAAATTACATTATAAAAAAATACGATTTTATTGTTTAAAATACTAGGCGATTTGGCGGTATAAAGTATATATTTTTTGATCAAAGACTTGTCGTATATCTGTTTTGACTGACTGGGTCTATTATTGTGATTTATAGATGTTATTAGGGATCATAAATGTCCCTAAAACTGACTCTACTAAATAGCTATAGGAATTATTTTAATAAATTTTCAAATATAATTAGTTGCATTTAATTAATAGTTTCAATTCTGTAAAGGCCTAGTTATTTGCCAGTCATCATCATCATCAGCTCACTATACGTCCCCATAGATGACGCGCGGGTTGTTTGACTTCACACATATCTTTCAATTTATTCTCAGACATGTGCAGGTTGCATCACGATGTTTTCCTTCACCGTAAGAACGTCGAATAATGTCGGTCATATTCCATGAAAATTATTTTCAATTTTTTTTTTATTTTAATACAACAAAATTCTCATAAACTTATCAATTTGACGATCTGACCTGATATTGCTCTTAACATCGTTGATATCTCCAGAGTTTTGACACTATCATAACACTCAAGATAAATTATAAGGTAGGGCGAATGCAATGACTCGTATAGAACATTATATAATTTTAATACATCGAATTTTCATTCGACCATATATTGAGATTAAAAAAAATCATCAATTTATCAAGGAACAGGCACAAAAAATAAGTTTTGTATATATCTATCCAGCAGATGTTAAATTTGCCAAAGTGTAAGCAAAATTCTTTAACTATACCTATTGATCAAACTGTATAGTAACAAGTTTGTATTATAAATTATAATGACTTCTGAATAATATAACGCCCCTTATATGTTCTTGAAATCTTTGCAACACCCTCTGTATGCATAGATAACGCATCGGCAGACTGAATGCATCATAGTTCAATTTTAAATCGTCCCCCATACCTGCTGTTACGCATAATGTCGCACTGAATCGTGTTCCGAGCATGTCTATGCATATATTAGTGTAAACTAGAATGATAATACAATAAGCGAATATTATAATTTAAAGTTTACTTCTAAAAACTTACATTTGTTAGGATTAAAATTATAATTATCAATTTCATTGTTTTATGAAGCTATTTTTTCATAACTGCAAGGGTTCCACACGTCTTATTGAAATTTAATACTTTTCAACTTTTTTTTTATTTTACGCAGACGAAATCGCAGTCAAAATTTAAAATATTACTATAAAAATAGCACTCTGTCTAAAGTTAAGTAACCTGCGTGACCTTTAATTAAAAGTTGACAACCCTAATTTAAATACAACAAAATTTGCAAGCTATGAAGCTCGATTAAATTTGCAAGGATGGGTTTGAATTATTCCGAAGCACGTCACGATTTTATTGGGCAAGCTTTTGAGGCCGGCATTCCTGGGACTTTGTTTATTGCCGGCGTTATCTGGATTCAAAGGTGAAAGGAAATCGTATTCGAATACTAACAAATAACAAATACGATTATTTAAAATGTTAAATATTAGATTCGAACAATTAAATTAGATATTTTTATAGTGGTTTAGAGTGGAATGTGAATTCTTTTAAACGATTCCGGCCATACAACTATATACTTGACATATCTGCTTAAGAATCTTATTAAATAATATTTTTGTCCGCAGTCAATGATTCAACTGAAAGAGCGTAAAGAGATGGACGAAGCATTCAAGAAGGCACAGAAGCCTTGGGCGAAGCTGCTGCAGAAAGTAGAACGTACAAGGCTCGAGTACCACACAGCTTGTAAACAGGAGCGCACCGCCCAGAACCAGGAGAGAAATGCTAGCGGTGACAGCTCGCTCAGTCCTGACCAGGTCAGTTCACAGGTATTTACACTTTTTCAATATAGTAAATTATTGGATGTTGTACCCTGCATGCCAACTTTTTTATAACATCGCGTCTTTTTAACCCGTATTACGATGGATAGAACTGTATTTCAACAAACGTTTAGATATACGGCTTTTGGTGAAGATTGTTTAGCTTAAAATGGAAGTAAGATTGTGATTAAAAACTAGTTTAATCTAAAGTTAAATTTATTAATAATTATAGACTGGAAGAGTATCATAATAAATTCTTTTAAATATTTAATTATCTCTAAAAACTAGGATAACGTCGATGGCTCAGGGGTTCCAACACTTGGCTTTGAATTGTTTTTCGATTTACATATACATTTGTCTGACATTCTTACGGTGAGGGAAAATAACGTAATGGAACCTGCATATATCTGAGAAGAAATTCAAAGATATGTGTGAAGTCAACCAAACCGCACTTGGCCAGCGTTGACTATGGCCAAGTCACCCTTAACTTAGGGTAGGCTCTGAGCTCCTCAGTGGAGACGTATAGTGAGCTAATGATGATAAAAAACTAGTGTCTCCAGTAACTAGAATGTTATAGTGACCCGATGTTTCAATTGAAATCTAGTCTATGTACTTTGTACACGAAGATTTAATACTCCATACCTTGTTGCGAGCGAGACGGCCTTGTTAGGTCGTTACACTTCTATTTCTGTAACACACTTCGTTATTGTCAAATTTGACAGGTTCATAGATTATAATAGTTTAATGGCCGCGATAGTAAACCTGTTAACGAGTTTGTCTTTAAGACGAGATTTTATTGCAAAAGTGTTTGCTAATAAATCCATAATAGTGGACTGGAGTCGTTACTTTACAAGGAAAAATTATCTTGTGATTATATATGTTGGCAGGATTCATTTTTATTTTAAAGTTTCCCATATTCTAGGTCATGATTCATTTATACTTTAGAATAAAGTGGATATTCTCTTTTTGGTGTTTTTATGATTGTTTCTGACCCAGATATCTTTATTAGGAATAATTTACACGAGATGTTATTAACATATGACTCATCCTCAGTTACTCTCTGTTGAAGATGACTTAATATAAACCGAGATCTATTACGCGTTATGTTCTTAAGCTATATATAAGACCGTTATGTAAAATAAAAAGAACGTATAAAAGTAAATGGATCTACTTCTGTTTATCCTAAAGTCGCTTTATAATGCATTACTTTCCAAATTTAAATGTATTGTTTGACAAAAAGGTATTAATTAACTCTACGCCTTGTCAAAGAGAACCACCAATTTACAACTTTGTTAACCCTCACTCGTAAAGGGTACGCATTCAACCCCCGTACAATCGATTGACTTCGGATCGGGTTGCTTTTGAAGTGGCAATTTAATTTGTCGCCTGACCCGGCCCATTACTGTCCCATTCAACTCTATAGTTCGAATCGTGTTGTTTTAAGTAGGTAATATCAAAAAGTTGTTTTTGAGAGTATTGGCAAAACTTTATTTAACCATTAGTTTCCATAGTTGAAACATTTATAAAATAGATGTTTTAAGAAAGCATAAGGGAAAATCAGTGGTAACCGACGGTTAGAACAAAATAACCAATCTGGTTGACTCACAAGATACTCCGGGACAAACACACATACAAATGTGGTATAAAAATCTTCCTACCCATATGTCTTTTCGTTCAGAACTATATGTCAAAGATGGCTTAGCACTTAAGCCTATAGCGTGAACGTCTTGCCGGTATCGATCCGACGACCCGAGTTCTTTGACCACTCGACCCATTTCCAATCGAATTACCCTATCGACCGTATTGCTTGTCCGCATACATCTACATTAACTATGCATAGATAATATTGATTTTGTATAGGAAAATAAATATCGTGTAATATGTAAGGCGTATATAAGTAAGGCGAAGCCAGGATTTTTGAATTTACGCGAGCGTGGCAGTAATTCTTAAGGACCCTCAATCTACCGTGCATATTTTGACAGGCTTTGCTAAAAGCACGGCCCTTTATGGATCCCTTTATCTTTATCCTCATTTGTTTTAGTGTTGATTAGAAAGTGAGGAACATTATCTTTGACTATAACACTCTAGTAAATCGAAATATCCCCGTTTCGTCACCCCTATTATATAACAAAGACGTTAAATGGTGTTTAAGCAGTTGTCTGTTCGTTGATCGTACTAAATCTGAACTAAGGCAAACCCTAAGATATCTCTAAGTGTAACAATAAGTAATATAGCGGAAATACCAGGTAGTTGTGCAAGTGAAGTGTAATTTTATAGGAATGCATAACTTGCGGTAGAGACGAGAAATATTTTTCTATTACACTTGTATGTGTTCAGTATGTGTTTACATTACACACGCTGATGGATAAGCGGAAGCGGAAACGGATTCTCAACAAGTATGAGAACAATACTTTGTAACAAAAATCAATGCATACTTTCGCTATTTTAAAAGGATAGTAGCAATTATACCTACTAATATAAACTAGCGGTTGCCCACGACTCTCTCCGCGTTGAATTAAAAAAAAAATAGTAGACTATATGTTTTATATTTGGTATGCCAAATTTCATCAAAATCCGTTCAGCCGTTCTTAAGATAACTTCAAACAAACGTCCATACATTCAACTTCATCTATACATTCGCATTTATAATATTAGTAAGACGTTAAAGGTTGGGTGAATGGATGGATGTTTGTTAGAAGGTATCTCCGGAACGGCTGCATGGATCTTACTGAAATTTGGCATAGATGTAGAACATAGCCTGGAAGAACACATAGGGTAATAATTAAGCGCGAACGACGACTATTGATTTATAAATTTACCGTAGCAGAGGAAACGTTCATTTGAAACTGTAGTTCACTTGACTTTAATTATTCCGCCTTCGCTTTCTTTTCTATAAACAAGGTGCAACAGAATCTGTGTGACGTTGAATTCCTGAGTGTATCAGGTACAAAGGTCACTATAGCCGGATATCACGTTACCACAAACACACGTGGATGTTGTGATACGATCGTATACATTTCTTTGTTTGAAATATACAAACGCCAATTTGTGAAATTATCTCGTGATAGAGAAGACATTAAATGGGGTTTGCTGCCGAAATATCGTCGACATATGTCTATCGACTATGAAATATATTAATATGTTTTGGTAGTGGAAACTTAATACATATGTTGTTCAACTGCTTTTATTGTTCTTTGTGATATGTAAGTTAAAGTTATTAAGTTGATACTACGTCGAAATTTTCCAACTTTGTGAACATAATCAAGTTTTGTGATAATCAAAATTGTACCCAAAATTTTCTTCAAATTTATACGTAAAGTTTTTAATTATAAAGCTTAAGGTGTTACATTTAATTATTAAAGTTTGAATTTAGTTATATTCGAATAAGAATAATAATTAATTTATTTCACAAAAACATGTTAGAATAATATACGGTGAAGTATCTTGCAGACCCCGAACTAGGCTGAGCCTGTATCTCGGGGCCTAGGAGTACACTAGCCATAAACATTCGAATTTATTAAGAGCACTCGAAGCCGACGTACATGTATTCGTAGATATATGAATGTAGAAGTAAGAGAGTCAAGTCAAGACTGTGGTAAATGGAGATCTGTGGTCTCTGCCTACCCTTCTGGATTGACAGAGAGGACCAAAAGTAAATTATCTAAATTGTTTCTCTACTAAATGAACCCATCTATCCACACATTAAAGGTAGAGAAAGACTAAAGCAAGTATAGGTTGTTTGAAAGAGGTTATGCGTTAGAAGAGAGTAAATTCAGATGAATGTTGCCAGAGATGTATGTAGTACATACTATGCCGACTCTCTGTAGGGATAATAGGTCGTGTTGATGATAAAAATCTAATATTACAATTTAAGCAATAATCATAGATAATTTTGTATTATGTAGATTACTATCAAGAGTCGAATATAATCACCTTTTACGTATTAAGAACGATATCGTGTTATATCTTTGTATTAAATGCATTCAATAGATACGTACGACCTTATTATGACTGTTCAATAAATAATATTTAACATTTATAAAGGTACAAGACATTAATAATATATATAGACATATAGAGACAGATTATTATAAAATATTTGATATTTACAACCTTGTTCCGACTAAACAATTCATATACAATATACTCTTGCGATTCTAAATATTTTTATATCATAAGTAGACAATAAGAAAGATATTTTTTTTATATCATAAGTTGGCAAACGAGCGAGCGGCCACCTGTAGTCGCTAAAATAGCGAAGTGACCGTTGCCCATAGACATATGCAATTATATATGCGTTGCCTACTTTTAATCGAAGGAGGAGAGGATGCACAGAAAGAAAAGATCTTCCCTTCCCATGCATCCTCTCATCCGGAAAGTCCACTTCCACTTCCCATCCTTTCCTTATGAGAAAAAGGGTGGGAAGGGAAAGAGGACTAAATTAGGCCTCCGGGACGCACACTCATCAGACGAAACGAAGAATTGCTTCCACTTCACGCCTGTCTTCTGTGTGGTCGTGGTATTTCACCGGGCGAGCCGGGCCAATTCGTGCGAAGATGTTAAAGCGGGATCTACCACTGTAAAAATAATGTGTTGTTAATATTATCTTGTATGTATCCATATACGTAGGGTAGGCTCCGAGCCCCTCGGTGGGGACGTATAGTGAGCTGATGATGATGGTGTATCCATATTATAATAATGTCTATCCTATATATTGTGATTGTAAGATTAACAATATTCCAATAACCCCGGGCTTCCACTGCGTAATCACCCGTTGTTGTTAATTAAATTTTGTACTGTTGTTTTGGCAGTGAAAACCTACTACTTTGCTAGTAATTACGATATTAGATGTGATAATATAGAATTATTTTTAGTACATCCTATACGACCATGACGTAATCCAATCCAACGTCTTTATTCCAGAAGTTATTGACTACGCCATAATTTGTTTAATAGTATCGTAAAAATCTCTACACTCACCTGCGTGGAATTATTTCTAGAAAATTCTT